CGTGGAACTCGCTTAGGGCATGTTCGTTTGGTTGGATCCGGATCTTGATTGATTGAGTGGATCCTTTGGATCCGCTAAGGTCCAAAAAAACTTAAAGGGGAAGTATACCCTAAAATCAAATTTTCACCAGTTGTAGTCTTCGGGGTGCCGAGTCGAATGGTCTTTGTCCGAGGAAGCTGAGACGCTCCCTTCCTCCTTTATTCCCAATCAAACTCGCGCACTTCCACCGAAACTGGGTGACTGCGCCCTACTAGATAGGGATTAGTATGGAAAAGTCACTAAAAACGCCGTTTCGTTCTTATAAAAGCGCGGATGACCGCGATTGGTCCGTATGTTGTAGTCTTTTGGCGGCTGAGTCGACTGGTTTTGGTTCGAAAAGGCTGCGATGCAGCGTTCGGCCCTTATTCCCTATCGAACACGGTTGAGTAAGCGGTCATGTGCTCATTTACATTTGGGCCCGTTTATGTCACTCGAGTTGAACCTTTGAACCAGGGAGTCGCAAAAGCCTCTTACAACTCCCTGCTTTGAACCTTTGAGTTGAACGTTGATGTGAAAATTGTAGCCTGCAGCCAGTGCAGGCACGGTGACCAGGCAACTGGTGTACGCATGAGCTCGTGACAGCTTACTCAACTGTGTTCGATTGGGAATAAGGGCCGAACGCTGCATCGCAGCCTTTTTGGACCAAAACCAGTCGACTCAGCGGCCAAAAGACTACAACCTATGGACCAATCGCGGTCATCCGTACTTTTATGAGAAGGAAACGGCGTTTTTAGTGACTTTTTCCATACAAATCCCTATCTAGTAGGGCGCAGTCACCCTGTTTCGGTGGAAGTGCGCGAGTTTGATTGGGAATAAAGGAGAAAGGGAGCGTGTCAGCGTCCTCGAACCAAGATCATTCGACTCAGCACCCCGAAGACTACAATTGGTGAAAATTTGATACAGTGGTCCCTCTATAATCCGGCACCATTTGTGCCACGAAAATCTGCTGGATTAGGGAGGGTGCTGGATTAACAAATCTGATTTACTGCTGCAATGTGCATGAAGAGGACATTGTGGCTACTGAAAATTGTGCTGGTTTATCGAGGGTGCTGGATTATAAAGTGCCGGATTAGAGAGGGACGACTGTATTAGGGTATACTTACCCTTTAAGAGAGCATGTCTGAGAATACCAAAGTATGTGTGCAAGTGGATCTCTCCGATTTCGCTGAAAAGTTGCAGGTATGTTCCCTTTGGGGTGTAGATCGATTGCAAAGCCCTTGAAAAAGTTTCTGAAGGGAATCTTGAACCTTGAATCTCGAAATGGCCTAAAAATCATATTATTTATGGGTCTACAAAGGAGTCACACCACAGCGTATACGAACAAGCTACGAACAATACTCCATCAAGTAGGGACTTCAATTGAAAAACCAAATTCGCGAGTTTCGCATAAAATGCTAGTTTTCTACACCTGGAAGATGTGAGAAACGAACTGTGAAAATTTGAACCCAAAATTCCAAGGCAATCTAGAGTTATAGTCGAACAGATGTGACACCGACCGAGACACAGGCAAGGATTGTGACGCAGACAACTGCTGCAACAGCGACTGCGATGCAGGCAACGATTGCGACAATGACCGAGACGCCGACAAAGGCTGCGAATACTACTGTGACACAGGCAGCGGTTGCGACACAGACAACAACTGAGCACAAATAACGGCTGTGAAAATGACTGCGACGCAGGCAGCAGTTGCGTATCGATCATGGCCGCGACAACGGCTGCGAAAATGGCTGCGACAACGGCTGCAAAAATAGATGCAACCATGGCTGCGAAAATGGCTGCGACCACGGCCGCGAAAATAGCTGCGACCACGGCTGCGAAAATGGCTGCGACCACGGCTGCGAAAATGGCTGCGACTACGGCCGCGAAAATGGCCGCGACCACTGCTGCGAAAAATCGCTGCGACCACGGCTGCGAAAATGGCTGCGACCACGGCTGCAAAAATGGATGCTACCACGGTTGCGAAAATAGCTGCGACCACGGCTGCGAAAATGACTGCGACCACGGCTCAAAAAAATAGCTGCGACCACGGCTGCGAAAATGGCTGCGACCACGGCTGCAACAAAATGGCTGCGACGACAGCTGCGACACAATGGCTGCGACCACGGCTGCAAAAAAATGGCTGCGACCACGGCTGCGAAAATGGCTACGACCACGGCTGCGAAAATGGCTGCGACCACGGCTGCGAAAAAAGGCGTGAGACCTAGGCTGCGAAAATGACTGCGACCACGGCTGCGAAAAAATGTTAGCGACAACGGCTGCGAAAATGGCTGCGACCACAGCCGACGAAAATGGCTGCGACCACGGCTGCAAAAATGGATGCGACCACGGCTGCGAAAAAAATGGCTGCGACGACGGCTGCGAAAATGGCTGCGACGAAGGCTGCAAAAAAATGTCTGCGTTGAAAACAGCGGTTGTGACATACATGTAGGCAGCAAATGTGAAAACGGAGGCGGCACAGACTGCGACGACGCGACACAGAAAACGGTTGTGACAACGGAGGCGGCACAGACTGCGACGATGACTGCGACACAGAAAAGGTTGTGACAACGGAGGCGGCACAGACTGCCACGACGACTGCGACACAGAAAACAGTTGTGCCAACGGAGGGGGCACAGACTGCGACGACAACTGCGACACAGAAAACGGTTGTGACAACGGAGGGGGCACAGACTGCGACGACGACTGCGACACAGAAAACGGTTGTGACAACGGAGGCAGCACAGCCTGCCACAACAACTGCGACACAGAAAATGGTTGTGACAACGGAGGCGGCACATACTGCGACGACGACTGCGACAAAGAAAACGGTTGGGAAAACGGAGGCGGCACAGACTGCGACGATAACTGCTAAACAGAAACCGGTTGCGACAACGGAGGCGGCACAGACTGCGACAAAATTGCTGCGACCACGGTTGCGAAAATGTCTGCGACCACAGCTGCGAAAAAGGCTGTGACCACGGCTGCGAAAATAGCTGCGATCACGGCTGCGAAAAAATGGCTGCGACCACGGCTTCGAAAAAAGGCTGCGACCACGGCTAGGAAAAATGGCTGCGTCCACGGCTGCGAAAATGGCTGCGACCACGGCTGCGTAATATGGCTGCGACCATGACTGCGAAAATGGCTGCGTCGACGGCTGCGAAAAAATGGCTGAGACCACGGCTGCGAATATGGCTGCGACACGGCTGCGAAAATGGCTGCGACCATGAATTCGAAAATAGCTGCGACGACGGCGGCGAAAATTACTGCGACGACGGTTGCGAAAAAATGGCTGCGACCGCGGCTGCAACCACGGCTGCGAAAAGGGCTGCGACCACGGCTGCGACAAAATGGCTGCGACCACGGCTACGAAAATGGCTGCGACACGGCTGCGAAAATGGCTGCGACCACGGCTACGAAACAATGGCTGCGATCACGGCTGCAAAAAATGGCTGCGACCACGGCTGAAAAAATGGCTGCGGCCACGGCTGCGACAAAATGGCTGCGACCACGGCTGAGAAAAAGGGCTGCGACCACGGCTGCGAAAATGACTGCTACCACGGCTGCGAAAAAATGTTCGCGACAACGGCTGCGAAAATGGCTGCGACCACAGCTGGCGAAAATGGCTGCGACCACAGCTGGCGAAAATGGCTGCGACCACGGCTTCGAAAAAAATGGCTGCGACAACGACTTAGAAAATGGCTGCGACGACGGCTGGGAAAAAATGTCTGCATTGCAAACAGCGGTTGTGACATACATGTAGGCAGCAAATGTGACAACGGAGGCGGCACAGACTGCGACGACGACTGCGACACAGAAAACGGTTGTGACAACGGAGGCGGAACAGACTGCCACGACGAGTGCGACACAGAAAACGGTTGTGCCAACGGAGGGGGCACAGACTGCGACGACGACTGTGACACAGAAAACGGTTGTGACAACGGAGGCAGCACAGACTGCGACGACGACTGCGACACAGAAAACGGTTGTGACAACGGAGGCGGCACAGACTGCCACGACAACTGTGACACAGAAAGCGGTTGTGACAACGGAGGCGGCACAGACTGCCACGACGAATGCCACACAGAAAACGGTTGTGCCAACGGAGGGGGCACAGACTGCGACGACGACTGCGACACAGAAAACGGTTGTGACAACTTAGGCAGCACAGACTGCGACGAGGACTGCGACACAGAAAACGGTTGTGACATCGGAGGCGGCACAGACTGCGACGACGACTGCGGCACAGAAAACGGTTGGGAAAACGGAGGCGGCACAGACTGCGACGATAACTGCTAAACAGAAACCAGTTGCGACAATGGAGGCGGCACAGACTGCGACAAAATGGCTGAGACGACGGCTGCGAAAATGGCTGCGACCATGGCTGCGAAAATGGCTGTGACCACGGCTGCGAAAATAGCTGCGACCACGGCTGCGAAAAATGGCTGCGACCACGGCTTCGAAAAAATGGCTGCGTCCACGGCTGTGAAAATGGCTGCGACCACGGCTGCGTAATATGGCTGCGACCACGACTGCGAAAATGGCTGCGTCGACGGCTGCGAAAAAATGGCTGCGAATATGGCTGCGACCATGGATGCGAAAATAGCTGCGACGACGGCGGCGAAAATTACTGCGACGGCGGCTGCGAAAAAAAGGCTGTGACCGCGGCTGCGACCACGGCTGCGAAAATGGCTGCGACGACGGCTGCGAAACAATGGCTGCGACCACGGCTGCAAAAAATGGCTTCAACCACGGCTGCGAAAATGGCTACAACCACGGCTGCGAAAATGGCTGCGACCACGGCTGAGAAAAAAGGGCTGCGACCACGGCTGCGAAAATGACTGTTAGCACGGCTGCGAAAAAATGTTCGCGACAACGGCTGCGAAAATGGCTGCGACTACAGCTGGCGAAAATGGCTGCGACCACGGCTGCGAAAAAAATGAGATCTCTGTTCTCATTTTCTCTTTTTGTGTCCCACTGTGAAGGTGTCCTGATTGGCTGCTTGCTTCTCTTCTGTCCCCTGTTGCTGACAGGCTGCAATGGTAAGATCTATTATGGTGGATGAATTTGGTTCTGGCAATGTCATTATTTTCATGTGTGTCAGATATCAATGTTGTTTGCTTCTCTGATGTTTGTGTGAAGGCTAATGCAACTGCAGCACTGTGCTAGTATTGTCAGGTCATTGTCATTGCTGGTAGTGATGTATTGAGTTTGCATTGTGCTAGTATTGTCAGGTCATTGTCATTGCTGGTAGTGATGTATTGAGTTAGCATTGTGCTAGTATTGTCAGGTCATTGTCATTGCCGGTAGTGATGTATTGAGTTAGCATTGTGATAGTATTGTCAGGTCATTGTCATTGCTGGTAGTGATGTATTGAGTTAACACTGTGATAGTATTGTCAGGTCATTGTCATTGCCGGTAGTGATGTATTGAGTTAGCATTATGATAGTATTGTCAGGTCATTGTCATTGCTGGTAGTGATGTATTGAGTTAGCATTATGATAGTATTGTCAGGTCATTGTCATTGCTGGTAGTGATGCATTGAGTTAACATTATGATAGTATTGTCAGGTCATTGTCATTGCTGGTAGTGATGTATTGAGTTAGCATTGTGATAGTATTGTCAGGTCATTGTCATTGCCGGTAGTGATGTATTGAGTTAGCATTATGATAGTATTGTCAGGTCATTGTCATTGCTGGTAGTGATGCATTGAGTTAGCATTATGATAGTATTGTCAGGTCATTGTCATTGCTGGTAATGATGTATTGAGTTAACATTGTGATAGTATTGTCAGGTCATTGTCATTGCTGGTAGTGATGTATTGAGTTAACATTATGATAGTATTGTCAGGTCATTGTCATTGCTGGTAGTGATGCATTGAGTTAGCATTGTGATAGTATTGTCAGGTCATTGTCATTGCTGGTAGTGATGTATTGAGTTAGCATTATGATAGTATTGTCAGGTCATTGTCATTGCTGGTAGAGATGTATTGAGTTAGCATTATGATAGTATTGTCAGGTCATTGTCATTGCTGGTAGTGATGTATTGAGTTAGCATTGTGACACTGTACCCCTGTGTATGCCCATGCAGGTCAAACTGTCGGTCTATCTGCTACTGGTACACGGCAATTAGCACCATACAGAGTGACATTTGGTGATGGACAACCTACAGCCAAAGTTACCGATTACTTACCTGCATGTGTTGTGATCAGTGGATCAGGACCATTCATTCGACTAGAGAAGACTGATGGTAGTCTAGTGTTGGCTGAGTTAGGGTCCTTCGCAGTGTTTGGAATACTACTGGTGAACAGCACAGTACATCCTATACTGAACACTTCATACACTGGACTGTATCATTGTAGAACAGTGGATAACAACTCAACCCAAACGTATCAACTCAACATTGTAGGTAAGTTTAAAACCATTTCCTATTTTCTGTGCAATAATCTCCTACTGACTGTGTACTGTACAGTATGGCTACTGGAGTAGAAAGGAGAATGAAATTGAGAAATGATTTATTAGCTTTGGGTCTCACTCGCAATATTACATGTATTATTATCTTTATTCTCACGATGGCCGTAGCCAATAAGAGAGACACAGTACTATGTGTTATCAATCAGAGTGGGTGCAATAAACTGGGAGAAACAGTGGCTAGTGGCAGCCGTGGCTTAGGTGCTTCATTTAAGTAAAGACGAGGAAGGAAGTATATCCATTGCGAAGGCAGGTAGGCGATAGACCTTGATTAAAATGCTATACCTAGGCTGGGCTGCAGCGGGGGTTGGAGCATGTGCAAATTGATGATACTATGATCGGGGTAACTTCTCTTTTGAATGCATGTATTTCTCGGAGGGAGTAACAGTGTAGTGGCAGGTGGTTGTACTGAGTGCATGCTAAGTACAAGGGTGAACGTTGAAGGCGGGTTGAGTGGGTGGTGGGGCGGGCAAAGACTCGATGACGCCTCAATTCTCGGCTTGGTGGCTCGGTGATGTAGCCTGAGGTCGCAAGCTGGATGTGTGGCGGGGGTCGTTTGACAGCGATGGTGTGTGCAAAGAGTAGCTGCTTGAGCTTCCTGCGGGATGAGAGGGTTGGCCAAGTGACGTGGTGGAGTAACGAACTGTGGTGGCAAGGACTGAAGAGGGGGAGTCGGAGGCATAGTGTATGTACACATGTGTGTGTGTGTGTGTGTGTGTGTGTGTGTGTGTGTGTGTGTGTGTGTGTGTGTGTGTGTGTGTGTGTGTACACCTGACTATTGCACATGTGTGTGTGTGTGTGTGTGTACACCTGACTATTGCACATGTGTGTGTGTGTGTGTGTGTACACCTGACTATTGCACATGTGTGTGTGTGTGTACACCTGACTATTGCACATGTGTGTGTGTACACCTGACTATTGCACATGTGTGTGTGTGTGTGCACCTGACTATTGTACATGTGTGTGTGTGTGTGTACACCTGACTATTGTACATGTGTGTGTGTGTGTGTGTGTGTGTACACCTGACTATTGCACATGTGTGTGTGTGTACACCTGACTATTATAATAATAATAATATCTTTATTAGGATGACCCAGAGGCTTGTCGCCTGTCAAGGGGTTCACCGCTTTGAAGGATGTACATGTACACGTATGAGCTAAAGTGAAAGTAGTGAAAAGTTGTGCAGCGGGAATGCGTTGGGGAGCACACGGGGGGGGGGGGGGGGGTTATGTACATGGCGTAGGCATACCGGAGAGCAAAGCACTATGTTTGCAAGTGAGTTTGCGAAGCTCATTCTTGAAAACAATAATGGATGGTTCTGCAGTTAGTCTTGGTGGGAGGCAGTTCCATAAGAGGGAGGTTTGGAAGAGAAACAACGATTTTGATGTGACACATGTGTGTGTGTGTGTACACCTGACTATTGCACATGTGTGTGTGTGTGTACACCTGACTATTGCACATTTGTGTGTGTACACCTGACTATTGTACATGTGTGTGTGTGTACACCTGACTATTGTACATGTGTGTGTGTGTGTGTACACCTGACTATTGCACATGTGTGATACAAAATAACACTACATTACCGCACAGTGAAACTTGAGTCTTCGACAACCTTATCGATCCGACCACTTTTTCTCGTCCCGAATATTCTTTCATAAGCGCATCTAGAACCTGGTCTCCGACTATCTTGGAGTATTTATGTTCGACAGAACAATAGCTTAGTTTTGTAGCACTTGTGCATGACCTATACTCGCATCTCGGCATGAATAATACGTCATTTCCCCTCATGGTTTGTGCTCACTCTGTGTTGCGTGCTGGCTGTACGTCTGTCACTGCACCCCATATGCTTTCCCCCGCATCATCCATACACGGACTCGTGTCCGGATGCTCTGATGTAGGGCGCTTGTTTTTTTTGTTTTTTCACTTTCACATACTGCAGCTAATATGGGACTAACTCTAACCAGGGACCTTGCTCGCGAAGATCCCTGGTTCGAGTCCTGGCGGTGTGACTGATGAGGTCTTTCTTTCTTTCGTATCTGATTAGCAAGTGTTGAGTTTCGGAGAGAAAAAGAGCAGTACGAGGCACCTGGCCTAATTTCCTAATACTTTGCAACTCTCCATCAAGTCCTAAATTTTGAAATTCCGATCAGGTTCTATTTTTCAAGTCTTCACTCTATCCATTATTGTGTCCTTTTCTTTGCACAGCCCGACAAGTCCATTCAGCATTCCCCACATCCCAGCAACTGATTTCCAGAGATGCCAATCGAAGCATACATTGCATGTCTGTTGGGAATTTTCAACTCAATGTATCATGGAGGTCAACACCAGCGCTGGAAATGCCGGTTATCCGGACAACGAACCCTCCAAATATGGTTCATTCCACGTTCACCTTCAAGCTTTATGATAAAAGGATTGTGTCGCAACTGAATGACATTGATGCATCATCGTATTCCTTCAATGTAACCTGTACAACGAGGTACACGCAAGGTTTTGACTGCACTGCAACAAGGTCATCGCCTACGCGTCCACAAAGTGTGACCCAAAGATGTGTTCATGCTTCCCAGCAACTATCTACAACTGTGACAGTCACTATCAAAGCAGGTTGGTGTGTACATATATTCAGAATCACTTTGTGTCCATGTTATTTTTAAATCTTGAATGGCACTCCACTCAGCTTCATTATAAAAATAATGATGGTTGCCAGCAACAGTGACCGTCACTCGATTGCTGAATTGGAGACAAAATCTAGAGGTTCAGGGTGGTCTTGATGATCAAAATCTAAAGATATTGACCTAAAGAATGCTTTTGTGTGCAATGTAGCTGTTGAGTTTTACAACAGGGTGCTGGGAAATGAAATCCAACCCCCACGAATAGAGTAGAGTCACGGTTCACTGCACAGCCCCGCACTGTTCACAGTGCTCGGGTTGTACAGTCCGGAACTGGTACTTTCCCGCCGGCTGGATTTCACTTTCCAGCATTGTACATTATATTGTACCTGTACGTCCTGCATCATGGATGTGCATTGTACATTTTTTAAATGCCTTGTACCACTACTGGTGTACGTCAGTGTGTTACTTCTCAGTGTTCATCGTCTTATTACCATGAACTACACCTTACAATGATTTACCTAGGGTTCCCTGGAAGAAGGCCGTGCCTGTAAGGACTCCCCTATTCAAAATTTAGTAATAGACTTTACTACGGATACAACTACTACTACACCACAAAGTATAGTTGTTATGTTGTATTAGTACTACCACTCCACAAAGTATAGTTATTATGTTGTATTAGTACTACTACTCCACCACGTATAGTTATTATGTTGTATTATTACTACCACTCCACAAAGTATAGTTATTATGTTGTATTAGTACTACTACTCCACCACGTATAGTTATTATGTTGTATTAGTACTACCACTCCACAAAGTATAGTTATTATGTTGTATTAGTACTACTACTCCACCACGTATAGTTATTGTGTTGTATTAGTACTATTACTCCACAAAGTATAGTTATTATGTTGTATTAGTACTACTACTCCACAAAGTATAGTTATTATGTTGTATTAGTACTGCTACTCCACAAAGTATAGTTATTATGTTGTATTAGTACTACTACTCCACAAAGTATAGTTATTGATTAGCAAGACGATATTCGCGTTCGCGTTCGCTCTCCAAGGAAAGTCGAACTCAGTGACGGAATTCGCGTTATGGGAAGAATTAGCAAACAGAATTCGTACATGCATGTACGACGTACATTGTGTACAGACAGTAGCCTCTACAGCGTGGTAAATTTATGACTGTCCTGACACGAATCCGCGATTCGTGTTCCGACTCCTTTTCCGAACGAAAAATGAGAAAGTTCGCAATCCAGTTCGCTAACTGAAAAATGTTTGTGAACGCGAACGCGAATTTCGTCTTGCTAATCCTCCGTATTACGGAGGATTAGCAAGACGAAATTCGCGTTCGCGTTCGCACTTCAAGGAAAGTCGAACTCCGTGGCGGAATTCGCGTTATGAGAAGGATTAGCAAACAGAATTCGCACATGCATGACGTTGACACGACGTACATTGTGTACAGACAGTACAGCGTGGTAAATTTATGACTACCCTGACACGAATCCGCGATTCGTGTTTCGACTACTTTTCCGAACAAAAAATGCGAAAGTTCGCAATCCAGTTCGTGAACTGAAAAATGCTTGCGAACGCGAACGCGAATTTCGTCTTGCTAATCCTCCGTATTATGTTGTATTAGTACTACTACTCCACAAAGTATAGTTATTATGTTGTATTAGTGCTACTACTCCACAAAGTATAGTTATTATGTTGTATTAGTGCTACTACTCCACAAAGTATAGTTATTATGTTGTATTAGTGCTACTACTCCACAAAGTATAGTTATTATGTTGTATTAGTACTACTACTCCACAAAGTATAGTTATTATGTTGTATTAGTACTACCACTCCACAACGTATAGTTATTATGTTGTATTAGTACTACTACTCCACAAAGTATAGTTATTATGTTGTATTAGTACTACCACTCCACAAAGTATAGTTATTATGTTGTATTAGTACTACTACTCCACAAAGTATAGTTATTATGTTGTATTAGTACTACCACTCCACAAAGTATAGTTATTATGTTGTATTAGTACTACTACTCCACAAAGTATAGTTATGATATTGTATTAGTACTACTACTCCACAAAGTATAGTTATTATGTTGTATTAGTACTACTACTCCACAAAGTATCGTAATATGTTATTATGTTGTATTAGTACTACAGGTTAGTGGCCCTCTGTTCGTTTTGGAGACTAAAATCCGCCTTCTTCTATATGTATGACGTTTGCTATGGATTCTGGAGCTGAGATTTCCGTCTTTTTGAGCAACCGGCTTGAATGTTCTCTTCTTTGTTTCCAGAACTTTGTCCAGATCTCATTTTTGCAAAACACAACTTCAAACCCATTACTGATTTTAGCAGGGCGATTGGTATGCACATATCAATACGGTGTCAAGCGGGGTTTCTTGCTAACACCAGTCTGGATGTGACAAATTCTACATGCCAGAGTGGCGGAGTGTGGAACCCAAGACCACCAGCATGTGAAAGTAAGTCGTTACACTATTTATTGTTAGTGTTGAAACAAGCGTATCTTTAGCACGACGCTACCTGAACGCGCCCAAACGTCAACACCTGTAAAAATCGTATTTTCCCATGAAAGTACTACCTGTTCAAGGATCGATAACTTTACCTTCCGTTGGAATAATTCCACGATCTTGAGCTTCCTGGAAAGGTCTCGAGCCGAGGAACAAACTGGTGGCAAACCCAGCTCGAAGCGAAACAGAAATCCTGTGCGACAGTCTGGCAAACTCTATCAACGCGCTCGACAGACTCGAGTACGGCCAAGACTAACCGAGGTCAAATATTCAGCTGCCAATTCGGTCTCCTTGCTCGTATCGAGCTCAAATGTTTTGTCAAGACTCACGGGATCTACTACCATCATTTGAATCCTGTTTCCATGGCAGCAAGTAGCGCAAAAAAAAAGATCCACAATGGAAAATACGCGTTCTGCAGACTCCACAAAAAAGTTTAGTTGAAATTTGCCGTGTCGAGTCGCATATCTCAACAACCGGTAGTCGTAACGCTTCGACGATTGTTTCTATCGCCAACTAAGAGTTTTCGCGTGCAGATACAGGTTTCGATTGTGAGAATCGACCAAGTATTGAGTGAGTTATGATAATTTGAATAAGTCGCTATGGACTCAACACGGACCCCACAACTATGAGATGCAGGTTCACTGTACAGTGTACAGCGCGCGTCGTACTAGTACGACGGCCGTGGGGCATGCAACTCATGTGCGTCGTACTAGTACGACGCTTGCGCTAAAGGGGTTAACAAACCAGCAAACAGTTCCACTAACGAGCAAGCTATCGAGGGAGCTAACGAGTTTCGTTGATGTGGCAATATGGTTATTTAAATATTTTTTCTAACCTCGATTTCTTATTCAATTCAGCTGGTTCAAATAATTTTCAATGCTGGTATTTGGGGTTGCTTCTGCTTCGCTTCGGACTAGTGTTTGGTGTCGAGATGTCGTTTCAGCGCAGTCGTTGAGCAGCCTTTGTAAGAATAGACCGTTTTGCAACGATTACAAGTAGCCCTGTTCTTCGCTGCATCGCGGGAGAAAACTTCCAAATGACTGGGAGTAACTTTCACTCAAATGGAAAGTTGACAGAAGCATGTCCTGCAACAGATCAGCAGATGCGGAACAAGATATCAGTGGAGGCCACCAAAGCTGCAACGACAACTGAAACACATTCGCGTTGTGCAGGCATACAGTCACTGTAACTGCGAGTGATTTTCTTTTTGCGTGAGACTGGACTCTTCGAACCAGGGAGTCGTAAAATATTTTACGACTCCCCGGTCGATATATACCGCCATGTGTACGGAGTACGGTGTTCGTTAGTGCACATGAGCTGGCCGCACAAACGAACCGAGTTTCTGGCGAGCGAGCTAACGAGTACCCGGTGAGATCGTTTCCACACTACTAGTGATGAGGGTTGTTTTTTCGGGGTTTTAAGAGTGTGAAGCAGTGAGTTATTTTTCCAGATTTATCTGGGTCTGTCGAGTTGCCGAACGAGAACAGTTGGAAAGCGGTTTAAAATGGCCGTGAAGTTGTGCATCGGTCATTGGTGTCTCAAAGTGTTACTAACTGGTGATGGAGGTCACATTCTACTTGCTATGCCTATCTAAACATAGTGATCACTCTAGCACACAATTTCACGCTCACTATCCGTTTTTGCCGACAATGACGACTTGCGTAATAAAACTAACGTATAAAATAGAAGAGAAAAGGACATCTGGATACGAGTTAAGAGTAACTCTCCATCACTGTAACATGATACTATAATTATACAGTCAGAAAGTGCAATAACTAGGCACAAAACTGACAGAGTACTGAGACATTCGACGTCCTGACACCTAACTTCAACACATCTTTGTAGCGCTAACCGACAGCCTTCCAACTTGGAAGGGTCAAGGTTATGGAAAGACCAAAGAGGGGAAGGCAAGCGCAACGAAAACGAGCAAAAGCTACAGTCCAAACGGAACAAAGAATGTCCATTGTTACTGGATGATGACGAGACCAGTACGATATTTGACAAAGCGGTCTAACTACAATTCGAAGCAGCAAAGCAGCACACCACCCAACTTGGGTGGGTCATAAATATCAAAGATAAGTAAAGAAAGGGAAGCTTTGCGAAAACGAATTGTACAAGCCGAAAGCCAAACTCCTACCGTACTCCTCATGCATGACATTGTGATGGACTAGTTGACTACAAAACAAGTTGTTTCACACGACGTACGTTTCGCCGTATGGTTCGTGACGGCTCATCAGGTGTGCAATTTGAAACTCGGATGTTGAGCCATAAATAAATGTAGAAGAAAAAAGGACATATGGATACGAGTCTCAGTACTCTGTCAGTTTTGTGCCTAGTTATTGCACTTTCTGACTGTATATAGTATCATGTTACAGTGATGGAGAGTTACTCTTAACTCGTATCCATATGTCCTTTTCTCTTCTACATTTATTTATGGCTCAACATCCGAGTATAAAATAGACCTTGAATTATCCTAGTTCCAAGCAAACACACCAACATGCTGGTCTATAATAATACCGGTAAATGGCACACTTTTGCACCCGTTCTCTTCTATTTCCATTCCAGGTTGCAAAGTTAGATGTTCCGATGACATCAATGTTGAATCCTGTAATCACGTGATGGGACAAGGCACTGTCAACTGTATTTGTAAACTAAACTATATATGGGCAGGGAGCAAGTGTGTGGGTAAGTGACTTATGTGCTATGCATCACACAACTTCACATTGATGTGTTGTGAATTGTGCCATGGTTCATGCTTGGGTGCTTAGAGACAGGCGCTGAACACTAATGCCACTGGCAATGTTTGAGTACACACTCCTGTATGGCAAAACCTATGTGTACTTCACATGGGGATCACTGGTAACTGGAATCTAGGTTTTCACTTGCTTCTTTCCATCTCTGCCTTTCTGTCTATAACGCATATGCTTGTGTGTCGGTATCTATGCGTGTATTTGCTGTGTTCTATTTAGTAGTCTCTCCTACAAGTCCTGATACCAGTGGTACGTTCTATTCTGTGTCTCCTTGCCTTGCACTTTCAGTGAGTGCATCAAGCACTGCAATGGGTTTTGAAAACACTGCATGACCACTGTGTTGCATCAACTGGTGCAGAAATGGCCATTAGAGCAGTGACAACAACTTTCTGCAACGTGTACTAGAAAGACTTGTGGCAGAATTGTTTCTAGCCGTGCAAAGATGTATGAGCAGTGGCGGATCCCGGGGGGGGGGGGGGGGGGGGGGCAGGGGGCATCCGGGACGGATACCTTGGGCCCCCTCTTCGGCCAAATCCTGGATCCGCCACTGATGTGTGTTTCATGGTAGGCTCGGTGTGTACTCCGTATACGACTAGCCGTGCTAAGATGTATGTGTCTTTCTTGGTAGTCTCAGTGTGTGCTCTGTATACAACTAGTACGTCTGTATCACACCACAGAGCATGTCAGAAGTAATTAGTTGCTGCTCGACCCCTGGTACTGAATTCCTCGTTTTCGTTTATGTCCTTTTGTTACCCTAAATGCGCTGGTATCTATGTGCGTGTATTTTGCTGTGTTCTATTTAGTAGTCTCTCCTACAAGTCCTGATACCAGTGGTATGTTCTATTCTGTTTCTCCTTGCCTTGTACTTTCAGTGAGTGCATCAAGCACTGCAATGGGTTTTGAAAACACTGTATGATAGTGTTGAAACGATCTCACCGGATACTCGTTAGCTCGCTCGCCAGAAACTCGGCTCGTTTGTGCGGGCAGCTCATTTGCACTAACGAACACCGTACACCGTACTCCATACACATGACAGTACATGTTGACTGGGGAGTCGTAACATATTTTACAACTCCCTGGTCGATCGAGAGTCCAGTCCCGCGCAAAGTGAAAATCACTCGCAGTTACGGTGACTATACAGTGCCTGCACGACACTTGAGTTGTTTCAGTTGCCGTTGCAGCTTTGGTGGACTCCACAAATGTCTTGTTCCGCATCTGCTGACCTGACGCAGGATATGCTTCGGTCGCCTCTCCAGTCGAGTGAAAGTGACGCTCAGTCGTTTGGAAATTTTCTCCCGCGATGCAGCGAAGACCAGGGCTACTTGCAATCTTTGCAAAACGGCCTATTCTTACAAAGGCTACTCAACGACGGCGCTGAAAAGACATCTCGACACCAAACAGCAGTCCGAAGTGAAGCAGCAGCAATCCCAAATGCCTGCGGTGATGATTTGAACCAGCTGAAAAAAATCTAACGTAGAAAAAATATTCAAAAAAATATATTTGCCACATCAATGAAACTCGTTAGCTCGCTCGATAGCTTGCTCGTTAGTGGAACCGATCGCTCGTTTGTTATAGATACGCTCGTTTGTTATAGATACGCTCGTTTGTTATAGATACGCTCGTTTGTTATAGATACGCTCACTTCAACACTAGTGTATGACCACTGTGTTGCATCTACTGGTGCAGAAATGGCCATTAGAGCAGGGACAACAACTTTCTGCAGCATGTACTAGAAAGACTTGTGGCAGTATTGTTTCTAGCCGCGCAAAGATGTATGTGTCTTTCATGGTAGGCTCAGTGTGTACTCTCTATACGACAAGTCGTGCAAAATGTATGTGTTTTTCGTGGTAGGCTCGTTGTGTACTCCGTACACGACTAGTCAGTGTCTGCTCCAGAGCCGGGTGAGCCGGGTAATCGACCTGGTTGGACGGCGCTTGGACCTGGTTGAAAATATAGTACTGGATCACCTGTGACCCGGTTCGTACTTTACACGCTCGAACTTTGAAGGGATTGACTACATGGCTTGTATGTGTGACAGATCATGCGGAGGCGCACACCGAAGTGAAAGTAGTCAGTATCCGGTGTGTGCAAGTGCTCAGTTTGAGCTTGATCGTTTGAGGTGTTGCTTTGAGCCTCCAGCGAAGAGGCGAATCCACAGACCTCGCATGTGACTCGGCTGGTGAGACAGCGTCAGGCACATGTGTACACGGCTCCGAGCCGGTTGAAATGGTTGCGCCAGGTACACGTGTACCCGGCTGTCCTACAATCCTAGAGCAGACGCTGCTAGTATGTCTGTACCACACCACAGAGCATGTCGGAAGTAACTAGTTGCTGCTCGACCTCTAGCTCAGGTCCTGAATTCCTCGTTTTCATTTCTGTCCTTTTGCTACCCTAAAATCGCTGGTATCTGTGTGCGTGTATTTTGCTGTGTTCTATTCAGTAGTCTCTTCTACAAGTCATGATACCAGTGGTACGTTCTATTCTGTTTCTCCTTGCCTTGCACTTTCAGTGAGTGCATCAAGCACGGCAATGGGTTTTGAAAACACTTTATGACCACTGTGTTGCATCTACTGGTGCAGAAGTGACCATTAGAGCAGTGACAACAACTTTCTTCAGCATGTACTAGAAAAACATGTGTCAGAATTGTTTCTAGCCGCGCAAAGATGTATGTGTCTTTCATGGTAGGCTCAGTGTGTACTCTCTATACGACTAGCCGTGCAAAATGTATGTGTCTTTAATGGTAGGCTCGTTGTGTACTCCGTATACAACTAGCCGTGCTAAGATGTATTTGTCTTTCATGGTAGTCTCGGTGTGTGCTCTGTATACAACTAGTACGTCTGTACCACACCACAGAGCATGTCAGAAGTAATTAGTTGCTGCTCGACCTCTGGTACTGAATTCCTCGTTTTCGTTTATGTCCTTTTGTTACCCTAAAATCGCTGGTATAATATATGCGCGTGTATTTTGCTGTGTTCTATTTAGAAGTCTCTCCTAACTTGTTACAAGTCATGAAACCAGTGGTACGTTCTATTCTGTTTCTCCTTGCCTTGCACTTTCAGTGAGTGCATCAAGCACGGCAATGGGTTTTGAAAACACTGTATGACCACTGTGTTGCATCTACTGGTGCAGAAGTGACTATTAGTGCAGTGACAACAACTTTCTTCAGCATCTACTAGAAAGACTTGTGGCAGAATTGTTTCTAGCCGAGCAAAGATGTATGTGTCTTTCATGGTGGCTCGGTGTGCACGCTGTATACGTCTAGGCGAGCAAGAATGTATGTGTCTTTCATGGTAGGTTCGGTGTGTACTCTGTGTAGGCCCAGTATGCCCGTACCACACCACTCAGTGTGTCAGAAGTAACTAGTTGCTGCTCGACATCTCGTACTGAATGCCTCGTTTCTGTTTATGTCCTTTTGTGGCCCAAAATGTCACAACCTACGGTTCAACTACCACTTCATCGGCGCTTCTGCCCACGACCCCACGACTACTTCACACACAAACTCGCTACCTCCTACATCTTAAAATCAGCTATGTCAAGTGGAACACGATCCTTGCATCCGCCTTCCACTGCCGATGATTCTACAAAGCAGCGTGTATCAACTGCAGCTATCGTTGGCATTGCTAGTGTAGTAAGCGTCGTGACAGTGGCATGTGCCATCCTTCTCACCTTCAAGATGAAGAAGGTTCACAGGTAGGATCTTACTATAAATTTCTACTTTATACTGGTGTGGCGGCTTGTGTACTGTTTGCTCTTGGTCTCTACTGTAAATTACCACCAGAGCACCCCACCTTGATTTCACAGCCAGGGAAAACACATAATCCTACATGGCCAGCAATCGAGGACATCTGAGAGTTGTAATTTTTGTACTCCTCCCAGGTGTGATTTTTGGCGTGCTGGGCCAAGCACAAGGAAGCCATCTGCAAAAAAACTGCAGAAAATGGTTGTTGTTTGATCCTTTGGTGTAATCTTTGTTTCTAGTCGAAGCTAGTTGCTGTTTGGAGCAGAAACGCTGAAATTGACTATTTTCTGCATGTACTCATACATGTACTCATGTACTCAGGCATGCAGTCTCACTCGTATTTTAGCTATTTTTCTGGAATGGATGCTGCTCTGCGCCCCTTGGTGAACCTTTCCTGCGCTCGTGGAGCAGCTGAAAAGGACCACTGGTCTGTCTGGTTCCTGGTTTGAAAGTGGAGAGTCGACTTTTGTGCCTTGAAAAAGGAGTAGAGAGCGAGTAAGGTACGTCTGTGGCTTATTTTTGAGTGCTCCTCGTACATTTTGGATCGTGATAGAAATTCTCAGACCAAAGTCAGACCAAAGTCAGCGCGATGATGGCCGTACAGTTTTCTTGTGGATTTTTTAGTTGTTTCATCTCGTATCTATGTCAGTATCGTGATGGTGAAGTGGAGAGGGTGATTTTCTTCCTCTAGGCTTCGTTCGGCCGACTTTGCTTCGTCCTCGTTGAAAAGTGATCCTGAAAAAAAGGTCGATTCGCAAAATTATGTTGATTTTCAATGTACGTGGTGACATGCGATTGCTGGCTATGTATGGCAGAGTGCAATAGATTGTGTGCGATGTGAGAGCCTTAGTGTACTAAAGTCACACTTAGGTTTTTGTGTGCAGCTCGTGTCCGCCAAAAGTTAACGTGTATACGGATTGACTGCACAACATGCAATGTGTATACACGGTTCGTGTGGCAGGACACCACGTCCACAATACGACCAGAAAAGGACGCGCAGTACTCGCTGTACTTTACGCTACTTACGTGTATGAGCTCATAGGATATGAAGCATGGCTAGTGGCTCTGGAAATTACCTACATCCGAAGTGCCACCAGCAGTTACATGTTGCCCTGTATGGTGGAGAAATGCGCACAGAAACAATTTCGCCTGGTTGCATCATGTGTGAGTGAACAAGGTAGAAATGGAGAAATTGAATGTTACCTACATTTTGGCAAAAATCTGTTTTGCATGAAGGTCACCTACAACAATCTATTTTTTTCAGATTCCCAAATTTCAGGCTGCTACTATCTATGAAGGAGTGTTTCAATCCTCTCCATTTCTCGGCACTAGCAATAGTCCAAGAAGATGGCTGCTACAAACGTTTGAACTTGCGCTTCCTGCCCAGACGACTGACTCACGAGTGCCGTGTGGAGCACATGAGAAGTACGTGAGGCGGTCCACTCGTGAAGCCTGCAAGAAAGCACCACTCTCTGCTCAACACACAGTGTTTCGGGGAATTCCCCTCTCGTCATCACTAACTCATCAGCTGAACTGGAGTAAGCTGAGTAGGTTCAATGTCTGGAGCAGCCACCTTCTTCTACAATAACTGCCCAAGTCTCAACATCTCACTTTGACAATAGTCCGATAGGATAAATTAAAGCTATGCAATTTTTGATCAACATCGATGCATCCGTTTTTATGTTCGGATTTGAGTACGATCCACCTCTGCATCGCATTTGCAATTGAAGGGCTCCGATTCAAAACGATATAAATCCGTTTTATGGAAAGTTCAGGAACTGCAGTTTTTCCTTTGTTCTTTTTCGGTCTGCACTGCAGCAGCAATCACCTTTATCGTGTTTTGCAGAAGAGCACAAACTTTAGACTGGGATGTATCTCATTTTGACCCGTAAAACCGACACACACAGACGTCCATGGGGTGATAATGAACTCTTCCATTACAAAAAAAAAACGCAAAAGCTCCGGTTTGGTCTTTATAGCGTTTTGAATTGGAGCCCTTCAATTGTATTTATGGATTTTCCACAGGCCTTAGCCTAAATCGATTGAGTCTCCGTCTTTGCACTTACAAAACGTATGTCCGAAATAGAAAAAAAGAATAAAATTCTATATAAACACAGTTGCATTGATTTGCAATGGTGGGGTATGGCATAGTTGTATGTCTGTTCATAACACATTGATTTTCCAATGGTGGGGTATGGCATAGTGGTATGTCTGTGCATAACACATGCAAAGATAACATCCTGATAAGAAGAAGGACAAAATGTTACGAGTTATGACTAACTGCCCACCAACGTAACCAGATCTTATACAGTCAGAGAGTGCGACAAAATGGTGGACAGTTATTCATAACTCGTAACATTTTGTCCTTCTTCTTTTCACAATAATTTAATTGGCTCACCATCCGAGTGAAATGATAACATCAACAATAATAACAGTTTTGGATAGTCTCCACAGGCCCAAGTCACCCCCTGTCAACAAACGTAGAAATCAATTTCACGGTCCGCTCAAGACTCAGTTGGGGTGAATTTTCAGCATCCGTAGGAACTCCACCACCGTTCAAAGATTTAAAGCGCAGAAGCAGCTCCTAAAGCGGTGGGAGGCCCACCACCAAAGTGGTCCGAGACCGAAAAGCTCATTTGCTGCATTCATGTTTCCCTCGTGCCAGGCCACGAGTTTCCTATCGACTATGGGCCGCAGCACAGCTGGAACAAATCCTTCCGCTTCCTGGCAGGACTTGGACCTGGTACCATCTATTTCTCAATCATGGTCTTAGACAAACCCCCATGTCAACACCCTAGAATACTGCCGAATACTGGATTAACGATTCGATTATAGAGACATAGTAGGCTGTCGAACTCTGACGTCACAGCTTCTTGACAACGCGTAGCTACTTGGCCAAGTGGTGACAAACAAAAGTCGCGTCACCTGCACTTTTCATGTTTCCAGCGACAGCATTCTGCAGTGACCACAGCTACAGCATCTTTTAGACTGAGGAGAGCACCAGCGAGACTATTTATTGCAAATAAACTGCTACTTGTTGCCGAGTTTGTAGTTTTCGCCTTGTAGAGAAGGAGAAGCCGTAGCTGATTGTTTTGCTTGGCCACTGCTGTGCCTGTACTGTCGTTTGACTTTATATGTAGTCGCCGGCCAAGAAACAAGGATCGGTGTCTCTGTTATTTCTATCGCCGCAATCGCTGATTTCTTTTGGTTCTGAGACCAACCAACTCTGGGCTCGTTTCCTTGTCCAGCGGCAAGCGAAAATCATAACTCCTATCTCTCAGGTGCTGGTTAACACGCGCCCCAGTCAAAGTGATGCTGTGACCGTTGGAAACACGACAAGTGCAGGTGACGCGACTTTTGTTTGTTACCACTTGGGCTTGTAACTACATGTGACTACGAGTTTTCAGGCAGCGTGACGTAGGCACTTCGACAGCCTATAGCAGAATAGAAAAGAAGCACTGGCAAGAAAGTAATGAAAAGACACGAAGTTTAGCTGGTCAGTACAACACTGATGGCATGCTCATTACCACAATCTCCCAAACATAGCTGCACAAAACAATAAAACGAGAACATGGAGAAGGGATCCATGTGGGCTCAAAACCCATGGCGAGTAGAAGTTACATAGAATAAATGATAGAGCAGAATGGTTTTATATGACGAGCGTCAGAATTAGAGTTCATTCTTTTAAAAATGCAAGTACATGGAACTTATTGATGTCATCAATTCCACTTCAACAGGACACTGCCTGTGGACTCTCCTGTCACCGTCCCCATGGATATCCTGCCCCCCAACACCACCGAGGAGGAAGGTGGCGATGACCAACAGGCTGCAGCCCAGCCAGACACAACCACAACAACAATTGCAGTCAGCCAACGGGTACCGCAAAGGTCAACGACTAAATGCAAGGTGGCACGACCATTTGTAGTTGTTGCACCCGCAAAGAAATCCCATGTATACTCAATTGAAGAAGTATCTTCTTCCGGGGAGATTGAACTGCTGACGTAGTTATGTAAGTCCACTTCCTACAACCCAGCACTACTTTTACATGGAAAGCTTAAAGCTGCATTTGTTCGGTCATTCCCCGAATGGGCATGACATGCGGTCGGTACCCATTGCGGAATCGGAATGAGGGTAGCAAACAAACCCGCCCGCGTTGACTCGTGAATCTGGCGTTTTGTGCAACTCTGGAAATGATGGTTGGATGTTTTGCTTGTGTACCAGCTTCACCTGTTGTTTTGTAGCCTTGCCAAGGCTATCGGTAGTTACTTTTTTGCTTGCGTACATTTCTGCATGCCCCTTACAACAGTCCAGATGAGATGGTGCGGCCAAACGCGGCGTAGATCTACGAGCACCCGTAACTAGGGTGCCTATACATGGCGTTTGTCCACTACTTCATCATGACTTTTCGACACCTCGTCTCAGACACAGAAACATCTCTAGTTCTACACGTAACTGAGGCTCTTTTTTTATTTGACAGAAACTAGGCACTGCAGTGAGCAGAAGCCAAGTGGCAGGCTCAGTACCTGTTTGGAAGATTAGGTGCTGTGGAGCGTGGGGCTCGACAATGAGTTCTTGCTAGTCTCGCTGTGATTCTAGAGGCCCTGCTCGACGATGAGGAGGAGAGGTGCGAGGCCATCTTTCCAGTTCTTATCCTGGGCGAACACTTTCTCAGGCAGCCAAGGGTCAAAATACCACCAACAAGTAACTATGCCGAGCTTCCAATGCCGCCCTTTACCCTATACAATGTCCGGCAACATTGGTAATGGCAAGAATCGAGTTTAAAGTTTGTTGGCGGAGGTATGCAACAGCGGCAAAGGCCACAGTGGCCGAAGCGCATTGTCATTCCGCTCGGAATGAGAACTCATTCCACTTTTTCTTTGGAATCGCGGAAACCGATTCTGCTCCATTCATTCCTCGACCGGAATCGGCATTGCGCGAACACAGCCGGGTGTATCAAACAAACGTACTGGAACCAAAACAAGGTGCGATGACTTTGAAACAAGCGCAACCTGTGTCTGATGTTGCTGTTGTAGAAGTTTATTTAACGTCACACCACAAACTGACGGTTTCGTGTCCTTAGATACATGTGGACGACAAAATATGATGCTTTCCAACTGTTTCCTTCAATGCACTATCCGCTTTCTCTCTCTCTTTTCTCTCTCTCTCTTTCTCTCCCTCTCTCTCTCTCTCTCTCTCTCTCTCTCTCTCTCTCTTTCTCTTTCTCTTTCTCTTTCTCTCTCTCCCTCTCTCTCTCTCTGTCTCTCTCTCTCTCTTTCTCCCTCTCTCTTTCCCTCTTTCAATGTTATCGTCATCGGCCTTTGTTGTACGTCAGCAATCATTCCTGCGTTCTCATTGTGTCTGCCTTTCCGTGTTTCTTTCTCTCTTCCTCTCCATCTTCCTGTACTCCAGAGCCTCGGGCAAGCCTATCTGAAACTATGCCACGGTTCTTCCCGCTGACGCGCTCAGGTGTGTCTGTCACTATCGGCCCACACACACATGCACAGCCACACATGCACATCCACACATGCACATCCACGCATGCACACCCACACATGTAAACCCACACACATGCACACCCACACATGGACATCCACGCATGTACATCCACATCCACGCATGCACAACCACGCGTGCACACCCACACATGTAAACCCACACACATGCTCACCCACACATGGACATCCACGCATGTACATCCACATCCACGCATGCACATCCACGCATGCACACCCACACATGCGCTTCCATGCATTCACACCCTCGCATGTGCACCCACGCCCACTCAATCACACATGATTGATTCACGACCAGACATACAGACACACGTGCGCCCACACATACACACACCTGCTTACCAACGCTCTTCACAATGCTTTCCTGTCCACTCTGTGTTTCCTGCGTGCAATCCTCCCTAATTTTGTTGTGCACATTTGAGCGTCGCAGCATGTGATTGCGTGCCCTATGTTTTTATTTTATTTTAGCTCTTTCTGTTTTTTTTCCTTCACACTTGTAGAGATAGTATCCCTAGTTTCTTGGTGGCAAGTTGCCTGAGCTAGTTTAGCAAGCTGTATGCTTCCTTTAAAAATATACATAACTGTATGGTATGTACTCACACTATGTTTTGTGGCCGATTTTGACCAGTCCCCAGTTTCGGTTCCCTTTCGCCTCGAGCAGCACTCCCTTTTTCTTTTCTTTTTAGTGATTGACTTTGTATTGATCTGCTGTGACTATGATACTACGAGGGAAGTTGCTGTTTCTTCTATTCGGTGCATTGCCCTTTCTTGCCTGCTTCAGCGCTAGCAAGGCGCAGTGCATTTGTTGCAAAAATGTCATCGGATTTCAAAATTATTATCTTTTGTGTACTGTAAAACTGGAAAGTTTAATGAAAATTTGAATTTGAATCGCAGTGAAGGACCGTTTCTGGGGTTTGCAGGTAGAAGTAAAGTCTCCAAAAAAGTTTAATATTTTTGTAATTTTGGCATGATACCGTGCAGAAAGTTTAACGATGTTTGTAAGACGGAAAGAACATGCATGGCTGTTTGCACATCTTTACACAGACATGTCAAACCGGGTTCACGATAACGTTTCTTCAAATAAGGGACAAATTGATAATTAAAACGCTAGACATTGCGACTCGTTAGACTTTCTGGTTTTACAGTATTGCAGGTTGTGGACGTGACTTCTTGAGTCGAGGAATACATGTAGGTAGTAAATGGGAGTAGATGGCAGCAGGACGGTATGTATTTAGAGGGAGTACTATGTACTAGCTCTGAACCTAATTAAACTGAGCACAGTCATGAGCAACCTGGTGTTCAACATCATGCATTGTTACAATACCAGCCAATACAGCTTCCAAGATGAATGCGGGAGCCGCAGACGATAGCAGATTACGACCAAGTGGACACATCTACTGTGTTCTGCACACGCTGGTCATCGGGTAGATGGACATGTATCCGGTCCAATGGTCCAGTGCTCCATGCATTGCATTCAGACTTCACTGCACTGTTGAATAGCAGGCGTTGAGTCATACTCCCCGCCGGGATGCTTCACCAGCCAATACACCTAATCAGTGTGGCAATATGACTGGCTGCATGACTGCACACAATATACTCACGACTAACAAAGAGTAGAGACTGAGCACGTTCAGGTTGGGTGTTTCCTAAACCTGACTCTCGTTCACGATTAGGTACCAATCGGGGACGCATGTTCCAAGCAATGGACGGACGGTCCGGGCTCCAGTGGCAAGTCCAGTGGCAAGTCCAGTGGCAAGTCCAGTGGCAAGTCCAGTGGCAAGTCCAGTGGCAAGTCCAATGGCAAGTCCAGTGGCAAGTCCAGTGGCAAGTCCAGTGGCAAGTCCAGTGGCAAGTCCAGTGGCAAGTCCAGTGGCAAGTCCAGTGGCAAGTCCAGTGGCAAGTCCAGTGGCAAGTCCAGTGGCAAGTCCAGTGGCAAGTCCAGTGGCAAGTCCAGTGGCAAGTCCAGTGGCAAGTCCAGTGGCAAGTCCAGTGGCAAGTCCAGTGGCAAGTCCAGTGGTTGCAATGTGAGTTTTTACTATAATAATTATTCACGTACCTACAGCTAGAAAATAATAATGAAAGACGGTGATACAGTGACTAGGGAAGTGAGACAACTCGTGAACAAGTGCTTCAACCACACGCAGCAGTTACGGTGCGCGTATGGCCCCGTCGGCTCACAAGACGGTGAAAACAAACGCGTGATTCACGCTCGCCACGAGACTACGTGAGACGACACCAGCAGCTCACATACATGTAACATCAAGAGTAGAATTATGTTATGTACTGGGGATCATGTACTCTTGGTGATATCAAGAGTAGATAAACAAGAGTGTGCAACTCCGGATCTCTCCTGCACAATCTGCAGATACCCCAACCACGGCGTAATTTTTGTTGACGTCACCTTTTTTCAGAAGAACGCGCATTTTTGCCGCAGAGCAGTGTGAGAGCATGTGCTGGGCACCGACCTTGTAGTGTAAAGCCGGCCAAGACCACGAGGGACAACTTTCCGAAAGACTCGCAAAAAATTCCGCCGTGGGCCTACCCATCCGCGAGTTGCACACTCTTGTTTATCTACTCTTGGTGATATGCGTGCCAGGCTATGCTCTTCACCAAACAGTTTCGCATGATCTCTACACTTGAGTTCCTGTGTGTAGGCTCCAGGCATAGGCATGGCACAGGGCAGTATCAGTTCCTAATAGTATTGCCTCGACTGTGTCCTATGACACTCCGTCGTGACTGCACTGCAGCATGTGATGACTGCACGGTCAACGTGAACTACTTCTTTCTCTGGCAAAACTCCAGTCCACCACCAGCAGCAACATGACCTGGCGCTACACGTAGTACGATACTCAGACGGATGTCCACTGCACAACTACTTCGTCAACTACTAACAGCAGACCCCGATGTCTTGTGCATGGTTACACACGACCAGCACCGTCACTGAACCTGGGCCGTGAATCGCCGTTTCATCTTCACGATAGGCAACACACCTGGACATTCCCTTTCATAGCTGCTCAGCGGCTTTAGCCTTAGACACCAGATTCACGACCACGCTGCTTACAACGACAGATCTTCACTCTTCAAGGTGCAAGGGATTACGAGCGTACTGGGATCTCGTCATTCATCCTACGCTTTGAAAGACACTGTGATCCAAAGTAGAATGGCCACACGCAAGCTGTGCTTGAAACTGACAGTGAAGCTGGGACAGCCTAATGTCTAAGTAGATCTACTAGTACTACTAGTAATTAGCTTGCACGAGATAAATGCCGCTTGGCGAGATAGAGAGAGAAGAAAGAAATTTCAGCAGGAATCGAACATTATAATAATAATCATAAGATTCCCAAGCACCTATCTTGACCACCCATGCATGGCCCAGCCACCACTGGCACAACGCCAGGGCCGGGAGAGATCCGGCCGAGTGTTTGGCTCAGAAGAAATGACCCAAAAATTATTTCCTGACCCCCAAAAAAAGTAGCGCCACCATGTAAACATCTCTCTATTCCGTGCCGTTCCGCTATATATAAAATTTATCTCCTTCCATTGTTTGAATATGCTGCCACAGCCTGGTGTGGCCTAGCTAAGGTCTTATCCGATTCCATTGAAGTTCATCATAAGAAAGTTCTAAAAAATTTGTTCTCGAAGAAACCTTCCTTTCCCTCCAATGAGTTGTACTTATTAGCTCAGACTACTCCGTTAGAGCAACGCCGACTAACTTGCCTCTGTATATTGGTTCATCGAATTCTCTTGGGTTGTGTTCCTGAACATATAAAGCCTTATAACTGGTTTGTTTCGGGCCGCTCAACCAGAAACAAAGTGTCTCTTCCCAAGGCCAAGTCAACGCAATTCACAAGATCGCCATTCTTCCAGGGCTACTGTGCATGGCTACAACTTCCCGAATCAGTGAAGACTTCTGCATCATTGAAAGAATTTAAAGTTTATCTGAGGGCCTGCTGATGACTGAGTGCACCATAATAATAATACTTGCAAGTAAAAACTAATCAATATAGCTTTTCGGCTGTTTCCTTTTCATGTATATAATCTCCTTCTTTTACCATGGTTGGCTATCACCCACATCTTCCCGTTTTGGCTGCCATCGGAAGCCATAAGATGTTGAATAAATAAATAAATAAATGTCTGTCCCTCCAGGAACTTGCGATTCCGCGGCCGCGTTGTTTTCCGCGATTTGAACAAAAGTCCGTGATATCCGCGATATTTGAAAAATCATCCGCGTTATTGTAGAAAACTGTCCTTGATACTTGAAAAGCACCGCGATATTTCGAAAAGCAACCGCGATATTCGGGTCTTTCTTCGATGTTGTTTAGTTCTTCAAGCTCGTCAATAGTTTACTTGTGAGATCGACACCAGAATGGAGAAATTTCTGGGCAAATCAGCGGCTGACAAGTCACAAAATAAGGCTTGCGTCGAGTGTTGTCCGAGGATGGAGGAAAGCTGTCTTGCAAGCTCCTGTCAGGCAGTTGAACACAGACAGCGCAGCACACGTTCTGTTTTGTCATGCATGATTTATGCTGTACAACTCGTACATCGTACACCACTACAGTACAAGTACCAAAATCGGCCGCAATTTTACCACAATAATCCCGCAATATTTGACAAAATCCGCAATATTCCCCGCAATTTGTGGCATTTTACCTCGCAACTTTTTCCGCGATATTTCCGAAATGTCTCCGCAAGTTTCTGGAGGGACAGCCATGTTAGTGGCTATGACAACACCAGTGCATGCATGCAGCTAGCTGAGCTTGTAGTTACATTGTACTTGTACTGTTGTAGCTTGTCCGTGCTGCTGAGTAGATCTACGAGTGCTGTGCTCATGCCTTTTTCAATTTCATGGTGCTTTTTTTGGTGAAGGACTTTTCGGTGCATCACCATGGTCATATCATGCCACGCAACAGCTTCGACCCGGCGTCACCTTTTTACCTAGGCTAGGCTAGGTACCTACAAAGTATAATGAATTATGATTCAGACATGGCACGTGTTTGTTGCCAGGAGACGGCCAATGAGCGGCCAGAATAAGCAGTCAAGATCAGTCGATCTTGACCGCTTAGCCGGTCAAGAACAGCAGTCGTACAGCACCGCGCCGCACATGCGCATTTACCATTTTTCGAAGTCCTTGCCTTGGGCAACATCTCCGACGAAGACTACAAATTTGTCTCTCTTCTCCAAAATTATTATACTCACTACTGGCTTGAACGTCTGCAGGGAGACCAGAAACGCCAACCGACCTTGCAGCTGGTCCTGTTTCTCGCGTCGAAACGTACACAAGGGAAGCAGACCTCCACAAGTACATTTTGTACCTGCCCTAAGGCTGCAGCTTCTCAGCACTCGCATTTGAACCTTACTCTGGCAATCATCTAACTCGAAGAACGGGTTTATTCCGAAGCCGTCATATTCTCGCCTTGTTACTTTAAGTCATATCAGCATGAAACAGGTTTTTGGTCTCCCTCGCCGTACCCCGACTGTCTTTGTTTTGCGGCACGCTAAGTTATACTCCCTCGAATCTCGTCTCAACTTGAGTCTTTTTATTTTTGTTTTCCGCTGTATTCATCAGCTTACAAGTCCTCTTCTTTCCTCAATGTTCACCCTCCAGTCGGCTGCTACTTGCACCGAGAGGCGCACTAGAGTAGAGGGCAATCATTCTCTTCACTTTCTTTGCCCGCTGCTACCACTAGATATGGCATGTTCTCTATTTCTTTCCTTGGCGCTGATAGGTGGAATTCTCTGCCTGTCTCGTGTCGTCAGGTTGAGCATCTATCCGTTTTTGTTTCGCTCTGTAAAGAGCACTTAGGGTTCCCTGTAACAAGACGGCAACGTCTGTAGGGCCTTCCCTATCAAAATAATAATTTCTTCTACTACTACTACTACTACTACCACTACTACTACTACTACTACTACTACTACTACTACTATATTACTGGTACTAACGTTACTACTGCCTTCACTGTACTTGAATACTTTCATCTCAAAACTGGAAAGTTCCGACCAAACAAATAGCTGTTTGTTATGATCACTGCACACAATGTGTCATCAACTCATTTGCCGAGTCAAGGCTTTCTTTCTCTTTGAATCTCTCTACTGTACTGCTGGTACTGGGCCTTGTTGTTTGTGAGGTGGGCCTTGTCTGAAGCGCAATCCTACACAGTTGCGTCGGGCATGCCGCGCTGATCAGGCCCTCGGTCATGTGAGTGATCTTGCCCTCGGTCGCGACGCCCTCGGGGCTACGCCCCTTGGGCGTCGCGACCTCGGGCAAGATCACTCACAGACCTTGGGCCTGATCAGAGCATCATGCCCTCGCAACTGTGTAGGATTATGTATGTATACGCTGAAGGGAGGTCGCAGGAGCGAAAAATGGCATGGCAACGGCGAAAAGCGGAACTTCCGCTTCAGCAGAAACTCCAATCCGCTTCCTCCAAAATTTTCGAAGCGAGACTGTCGCTTCTGCGGATTCGCTTCAGCGGAAAACACCACGGTCTGCTGTATATGGACTTGCTACGAGAAAGTTGTATGCGTATGATGTCCATGCAACGAAAACGCGTGATTGCCATTGACCGTGTATTCTCCGTACCGTATGCACCACAGTCTCATTTTCCGCCAAAGTAGGAGTTGTGCCCTGTTTGTATGTGTGACCATACACACTTGGTTTCGCTGGAGCGACACCAGTACAGGCTCGCTGCCGCCGAACCTCGTCGCCGAAGCGAATCCCAGTGCATGTGTGACCGGGCGTCAAGAGCCTCCTGGTCGTTGCAATCTGATACATAATAGGCCTTATGCACGTTGTACAGATGCACGAAATCCCGTAGAATCCCGTAGACCCGGTTGGGTGTTGAATGTGCAGGACCCTATTGTGTTTATTGCTTATTTCCACAGCGAAATGGGCCCTGAAGGCATTTCATACGAACACTTTTTCGACAGTGATCTAGCGAGTCGTTAGTTCAATCCCAAAGTGAAGAAGCTGGAAAAGTGATTGTTCGCCGCGAATTATGAGGCTAAATGGGCCAAACACGCATGCAATGAACACCCAACCGGGTATGTACACACCTACGGCCCTAGTACCTCCTATTTTTGACATGTCCAGGGAGTACTAAAAACGATTTTTAGTACTCCCTGGCCTGCATGCTGGGCATGCGCAAGTGCATGATCTGATCCAGTGCGCAATGCGCATGCCAAATAAGCGTTGGTCCGACGTACGCTGTGCACATGTGGTACGACCGAGTTCAAGAGTCCATTGTGACTGCGGAAAGCCAGTACGGTACGTTCTTATTGCTTGCGAAATATGGCTTACCGATATACGGTGCGCCGTGCAAATATGCACTACATTAGCATGTGACAACGAAACTCAGGAACTTCACAAAATTGGTTCAAACACACAAAAGAAACCGGTCCAAACATCGGGCATCTTTCGAGTGCATGTGTGACCGGGCCCTAAGGGCCCGGTCACACATGCACTCGAAAGTAGCGTATACGCTGAAGCGAGGTCGCAGGAGCGAAAAATGGCATGGCAACGGCGAAAAGCGGAACTTCCGCTTCAGCGGAAACTCCAATCCGCTTCCTCCAAAATTTTCGAAGCGAGACTGTCGCTTCTGCGGATTCGCTTCAGCGGAAAACACCACGGTCTGCTGTATATGGACTTGCTACGATAAATTTGTATGCGTATGATGTCCATGAAACAAAAATGCGTGCAAGATAGTCATTGACCTCGTCTATTCTCCGTACCGTATGCACCACAGTCTCATTTTCCGCCAAAGTAGGAGTTGTGCCCTGTTTGTATGTGTGACCACACACACTTGGTTTCGCTGGAGCGACACCAGGCTCGCTGCCGCCGAACCTCGTCGCCGAAGCGAATCCCAGTGCATGTGTGACCGGGCCCTTATCTGTACCGGTTGTTAGAACAAGTTTCCCAATCTGTTGGTCTTGAATCTGTTGGTCTTGAATCTGTTGGTCCTGAATCTGTTGGTCTTCATTTCCCCAACGTGTGTGTGGTGAGTGCTGTTTTCCACGAAGTATCAAGTGCTGGTGATAGTTGTTCAGTCTCTAGCTAAGTCAGTCTCTCTACTCTGCTCGCAGACCTTTTTTGGATCCCTTTGCGGACTTTGGTCAACGTAGCCTCTCTCGGCTTTCTCTCG